GGATCTTCTAGAATTGTACCATCTAGTACAGTAGCCACAAGCTGCATGTGGTTATTGAAATTTAAAATTCATTTTCCTCGGTTGAACTAGCTACATTTTTTTTTCTAAGATTTTATTTTATTCATTTATTTGAGAGAGAGAAAGCATGTGAGAGCATGAATGTGGGGGCGGGGCAGAGGGCAAGGGCAGGCTTCCCGCCGAGCAGGGAGCCCGATGCGGGGCTCCATCCCAGGACCCTGAGACCAGGACCTGAGCCGAAGGCAGGCGCTTAACGACTAAGCCACCCAGGCGCCCTGAACTAGTTCCATTTCAAGGGCTCAATAGCCACATGTAGCTAGTGGCTACCATATTGGACAGCACAGAAAAATCATTCCATCGTCACAGAATGTTCTACTGGACAACACTTCTAGAAAAGTGATTCTCAAACTATTTTGGCCTGAGGACCCCTCCAACCTCTTAAAAATTGAGGACCCCCAAAGAGCTTTGGTTTATATAGGTTATACCTTTTGACACTTACTCTCATGTAAATTAGAACTGAGAGTTTTAAACATTTAATTAACTTAAAATAATAATAAACCTATTATATGTTAACATATTTTATGAAAAGTAACTATATATTTTCCAGGACAAAAAAAAAAACAGTGAAAAGAATGGCATATATGTTCTTGCATATATGTCATGTCTGACTTAATAAAAGTCATCTGGATTCTCATATCTGCTTCTGTATTCAGTCTGTTGTGATATCACATATCATGTAGTCTCTGGAAAATGCCACTATAGACTCAGGAGAGAATGGGAGTTAAAAAAGCAAATAATGTCTTAGTAGTATTATGAAAATAGTTTCAACTCTGTGAATTCCTTGGATGAACGTCAGGGTTCCTGGACCGTATTTTGAGAACCACTGTTGTAGAACAGCCTCCATTTGGCACCAAGGAACTTGGCCTTGAGAGATTGAGTGATTTGCCTAAAGCCACACGGCGAGTAAATTGTAGTGTTGGGACTAGACTCTAAATCTGCCTTCTGGCTGGAATGAGCCCAGCTAGGCTTTGGTGAGTGGGGACTAGGTTTCGTGGCTGTGGAGCCCCTGACCATGTGGCCCTATAAATAAACCCATTGTGTCTGTGTCTGAGCCCCTTCCCTCTCCCCACCTCCAGCAGCTGCTTTTTTTGTTGTTGGGTTGTGCTGTGGACAGGGAGCATGAAGGAGCTGGGAGAGGGGAGGTAAGGGGTGTTGGAGCCTGTAAGGCTTTGGGGCTCAACACGACTGCCCTTCCTCCTGCCTACCTGGAGGGGCAGGGGACTGATCCTACTGTGGGTCAGAAAGAACCCACACTAAGGGATGGAGGTTCTTGCAGTGCCTGTGAAGAGGAAGTTGGAAGGGGCCGCAGGGGCCCCTTCCCCATGGACACATGCCTCTCAGTAGGGCTATTGTGTCTTAGGGCCAGTTGTCAGGAGGAGGGAAGGAAATTCTTGTCTGTCCTCTTTTCCGGGGGGGGGGGCGCGGGGGGAGGCCAGTTGGAATTCCTATGGCTGAACGATGCTTTGGGCAGGGATTAAGGTGGCTGCTTTCAGGCCACGAATGCCCTGGGGCACCAGTCCCTTTATTCCCTCCCCACACCCACAGCAGCCCCGGGCTGGGGCTGATACGGTCAGAAAAGACTTTGTAATGGGTGCAGAAGTTGCTGTTTACAAGTGGACTCTTGGGTGTGACGGGGATTCCAGAAAGCAGCTGGGGATGGGGGGAAGGACCCGCTTTCTAGGCCAAAAGCTTTATTCTACAGCTGGGGGGGGGGGGGGGGGGGGGGGGGGGGGGGGGGGGGGCGGTAACGGTTGTTGTTACGGATGATTCTGTTATTAAAGTGAGCTTCTCCATCTCTGCCTTCCCACAGCTGCCCACCCTCCCCCACCTCCTGGTCCCTGGCTTCTGTCCCTAGAGGACTCTGGGGGGAACAGCTGGTGAGTGAGGGGCTCATCGGGGCCCAGAGCCCTTGGCTAAGGGCCGGGATGAGGGAGCGCAGAAGACAGGCTTACTGCCACCTCTCTAGTCCCTTCCTCCCAGGCCTAGGCTCGGAGTTCAGGGAGGGGTCTTGCCCGTGCCCTGGCTGGGCAGAGGGTGGGCACTGTAGACCTTACTCTTTGCTCTGGCCAATTGAAAGGCCGGGACAGTCAGCTCTCTTTTGGGGGCCCTGTGACTGACTGGGCTGAAGAAACAGAGTCACCAGATTCACTCGGTGATCAGGCTGAGCCAGCCGCGTCCCCAGGTTACCCAGAGCCCCCTGAGCAGCTGTTCGCCTTTCCCTGTCCCTGGTTGCTGCCAGTGGCCCCCCCCCCCCACTGAAGGAGGGCCCCAGAGTCGCTGGTCTTCCTCCCTTCCTCTCCCCCCCTCCCCTCGGCACTGAGGTCACCTCCCTCTGAATCAGGCCTTTGTGGGGGGCGGGGCTGCCCATTGGCAGTTCTGGCGGGAGAAGCCTCCAGTTCACGTTGGAGCTCCCACCTCCTGCAGCTCCATCGCTACCCAACGTGGCCTGCATCATGTGTTCCAGACCCAACATCCGACATCCGGGCGTGTCAGGCGTGTCGTGGGACCACGGGAGGAATGTTTGAAACCAGGGCCATCCTGAAGAACCCAGGTTGGGGGTTTTCCAGGCCCGGGGTGGGGCTGAGCCCAGAAGCTGTGAGTAGGAGCTGTGGAGCCTGAGGGAGGAGGAGGGTGTGCAGCCCCCGGGAGAGGGGCCCCACTGACACGCGGCAGGGACAACCACTGGGGAACAAACGTGGGTTGGTTTTTTCCCCATGAGATTTAGACCGAAAACCCAGGCTGTGAGGGGCCAAATTCCTCATTAGGCTCAGACTGGGAGCTGGAGGTGGTAGTATCTCCTTATATTCCCTAGAGGAGAGTGAAGCTGTAAGAAGCGTTCTTTGCGCCATAGAAATCTTAAACTCCGACTGTGGACTGTGGTCCTGCTCACAGCGTGCACTGCTCCGGGCGCCAAGTTTAAATGCAGGCCTCTTCCCTGTGACTCAAGCAATCCGGGCTGCCAGCTTCCTGCCCCTCTGCTTGTGGCCCTGCGGATGGAGAGAAGGCCTCTGGTCCTGGGTTGGCCAGACCACCTCGACTGAGGGCAGAAAACTTCTCCCCAAAGTGAGGTTGAATCACAGTCTGTCTTCATTTCCGGAGCCTCTCCCGAAGCCCAGCCGGGGAGACGGAGACGGTTCCACATGACAGAGCTGTTGCTTTTGGGTGGCTTATCACTTGGAGGGTCTCCCCCAGGTCACAGTGGGTCTCAGGCCTCCCTGACCTGGTATCCACAGAAGCTCAGATTGAGAGAGTGGCGGCATTCAGCTGGGGGCAGGGGGGAGGTATATCCGGTCCCCACCCTCCTCAACACGCAGAAAACCACAGACATGATCCACAGCCAGTCCCCATGATCTGGGCCTCCTGAAGGCATTTTTATTTTTGTTTTTTTAGGAAAAGATATTCTCCCAGAGCATCTTCACCCTTAGTCTGGTTTTTGCTGTCGCTGTTGGGACCACAAAGACTTGGGCTTTTCCCCAGCTTTATCTTCCTCCCTTTCTGGCCCTGGACACTGCCGTGTTCACCCCGCTGCTTTCCTTCACCCTCCCAAGTCCGTCTCTCCCCTCGCCCGCTACTCCCTGGAGGTGTCCACGGGGCAGAACGGGTGCGGGGACTGCGGGGGAAAGCTAGCGTACCCTGGGGGCACTGGGAGCCTCTGAGGAGCAGGCCTGCTGGGGTGCTGGGGGGGGGTTTAACTCAAGTGGTGGAGGTAACCCGAGGCCTTTTTTGGTTTTAACCCCTATTTATGTATGTGGGAAGGAGGATATTTCCTGAATTTTTTTCATTTTTTTCCAAGTCCGTCCATTTCTAAAAATATCAAACACGATAATGTCATGAGCAAATGAAGTTATACTCAATACATTTTTCATGATGTTAAAATAACAAAGGACTCGAGATTGTTGTGGAGCGTTTAAAAATAAGTATTACAAGTTTTTCGTTTTCCTGCAGTTTTCAGAAGCCCCCTTCCCGCTGTCATACACACACGGGCACAGTCTCTCTCACTGGGAAAGAACGTTCTCTCCGTTTGCAGTTGCCCCTTTTTCCCTCTGGGGTGAAGGCTGGGCTGGCAGCTGGCAGGGAGGGGTTGAGGAGGAGGAGGCCCCTGAGCGCGGGGTGGGTGTGCGGCGCTGTCAGATCTGCGGGTGCCCCCACTGCCCAGACCCCGCAGGGAGGAGCCTGGGACTCGGCGTCCCTGACAGATGAACATCCAGCAGCAGCAGGCAACGAGGCGGGACTTAGCATCGTACCTCTGTCGGGATGTGATCACGCAAAGTCTCCATTTATTGAGTTCACGCAAGACCCTCTACACGCATTATCTCATTTCACCCCCAACAGCCATTTGGGCTGAGTATTCTTAGGTCCATTTTACAAGTGAGGAAACAGATCTTGCAGAGTCAGGATTCTCACCCAGATCCATCCCGTACGTATATCATAGCTCCAGGAGCCCTGGGACTCTAAGAACCTTACAGTACGACTCGTGTGTGTACAGAGAGGCCGCCTTGGAAGGGGGAAAGCGAGGCCTGTCCGCTGTGCTTGGTGATCCAGCCGTATGTCTTGGGCAGCCCCCTTGACCCGCAGATACGGCACCCTCACCCGGGCTGGTGCCCACCCCCCGTAAAGTTGTTAGGATCAGGGGCAGTGGTCCCTGAGAAAGGGAATGCGCTTCCCGTTCCAGGATTTCATCTGGACGCCCCCGAGATCTCTGCTTCGGTGTCACCTCTCGGTGCCTTATGGGGACCCGCTGTATGTCCATTGGCTTCTCTGTGCATAAGTTATCTGCCTCCCCCAGTAGAATGGAAGCTTCACAGAGGCAGGGCTTTCTCTGGCTTGTTCATCCCCGAGGCCCAGTGCCTGGCACACAGCAGGAGCCCAGTAAATGCTTGTGGAACGCACGGCTGACACACTGTGTCCCTCTTTCTCCACAGGTGAGGTGACCGTTCCGGCGGCTAGCGTGAGTGTGCCGGCCTGGGTGAGGAGGCAGAGACAGGTGAGGGGCTTTGAGCCTGTGCATGCTGGGGTCGGGGGGACTGGAGGAGGGGGCGGGGGGCCGGGGAGGCATCGCCTGCACCCCACCGCGGAGGATAGAGGAGGGATCGTTCAGATGCCTGGCCAGTGAGCTGCTAGAGGGCTCCTCTCTTCCTTGCTCTGACAGTACCAAGCTCCTTTTGTGGGGGCTACAGTGGGTCAGAGAGTGGACTGGGGGCCTCTGCCCTTTTACGTTAGGAAGGGTTTTCCCATCTACTGGAAATTTCTGCAATATTTGTGCAAAAGAAGGAAATGAGGACTTTCCTCTAGCAGAGAAATTGCAACTCAAATAGCAGCTGAAGACTCGTCAGATACAGCCAGTAACTACGGCAATAGTCCAGTGACCTATACGTTAATGGTACAGACAGAAGCCTGGCTGCGCCGTTCTCAGGCAGTGACAGACGAGTCGGTTTCGTCATCAGTCTGTCCCCGACCTGCCAGGTAGCCCACCAAGGAGTGCGAGTCTGGGCAGGCACCTGAATGCAGAGTGCCTGCCTTCACGGGGTCGACCCTCCTGGGGAGGCGGGCGGTTGCAGAACTGTGCAGGAGGGGTGCCTGACCCGGACTTGGAGCGGGAACCCCGAAGAATGTGTAGGAAGGAGCTGGCTGGGTGGAAAGCAGGGAGGCGTCAGGGGACCCCTGCAGAGGGACCGGCACGCACCAAGAGACTGGGCCACTGGGGCCTGGCTGGGAGCAGGGAGCTGGTGAGGCACGCGGGCTCCCTCCCACTGTGCCGGGAAGATCGAGTGTGCCGGTTCGAGGCCGATCTCAGCAAAGAATTCCGCTTTCTTGGTCATCGGCCAGTGTCTGTGTGACCTGTGGTGGGGTGAGCACAGTACTGAGGTTTATGAAACAATGGTCTCCGTTCTTAAAATGGGCAGAGTGTGCCTGTGTGTCTGTCCTAGGACCAGAAGAGCCTGAGTCAGACCCTGAGTTGTTACAATATCCGCGGCCCGTTGGTCACACTAGACTTCCAGAACGCTGACGAGTTTTGTCTTTGGCCTCCTCCTCCACTCACCTCCTCCTCGTGCCCTGGAGTAGCCTGCCGGGGCGTCTCTCACTTGTTCCAGGGCCTGATGTCAGAGGCCATGGACCAGCCCGCTGGGAGCCCTGGAAAGCCGAGGCCGGGAGAGGGTGGTGACAGTGGCACGGAACCGGGCACCTGCCAGGAGCTCCTGCACCGACTTCGGGAGCTAGAGGTGGGGCACGAGACAGGGTCGGGGTGGCAGTGCCGGCTGGGGCCCTCGGGAGCTTGGGTAGGCGTTATGGATGTGGGTGGGCCTTCCTCTCAACCCGCTTTGCCGCGCTGGAGCAGAGCTGAACGTTCTCTAGCAAAGCTCCTCTGAGAAGCCCTTTCTTTGCTCTGAGCTCTCCAACCGGGGGGGGGGGGGGGGGGGGGGGGGGGGGGGCAGCTTGGGAGAAGAGGCATGCACAGGGGCAGGGCTGTCCTAGCCCCCAAACGTCTCCCTTCTTTCCCCCCTTTTCTCCCCCCACTTTCACGCCCTTGCCGGTGTAAGAAAGGCATGGTCACACGGGCCACAGGAAGAAGGGTTTAGAGGACCCAGGGCTTAGGAGTTGAGGGGCAAGGACAAGGACGTCTCAACTAAGCTCTTCGCCATCTTCTTAAGACCTGCCCTCCTCCCTCCAGCCTCCTCGGCCCAACGCCCAGGGAAATAAGGGTTACTTTGGGCACATCCCAGCTTAGGCCCTCCTGGCCACTGTGTCTCCGCAGTCCCTCCAACCTCCCTGACTGAGGTTGGGGTTTACAGAAAACCAGCCATCTCAGCTCTGCCTTTCTGATGCCTTCCATCTGTCTCTGTAGGCCTCCCCGTGGGGAATGCAGCCAGAGCCAAGAGCTGGGGAAGGGGTGTAGCTAGGAGACTCCATGCCTCCCCTTCCCCAAAAAGAATTTGCCCTGGTGGAGGAATGATCCCACAGCCTCCTTGTTGGCCCCCTTTCTCCTTCCTTCAGGCAGAGAACTCGGCGCTTGCCCAGGCCAATGAAAACCAGCGGGAGACCTATGAACGCTGTCTAGATGAGGTCTGTGGGGACTCCAGGGGGACTGATGCAGGGGGAGGTGGGGAAGCTGGGAGGAGCACGGGTTGTCGGTGCTCCAGGCAGAGGCTGGTGGGCTGATAGCTGTGCCTCGGGCCCTCTGTCCTCAGGTTGCCAACCATGTGGTGCAGGCACTGCTAAACCAGAAGGTAAGCAGCCACAGGAGACATTCTCGCCCCTGAGCCCAGACGCCCTGGGGAGAGGCCCTGAATACAGCAGGGGAAGTCCTTCCGGGGGACCCCCTGAGCCTACTCACGTAGGGGCTAGAGGAGGGAGCTTGGTGGAAATGGCCTATTGACCCTCCAACAAGGCTCCTTCTCCCCACCTCAGACAGGTCCATACTGTTCTACCTGGAGGAGAGGTGGGCTAGGTAAGGCCAGGTCTCTGAGCTATGGTAACTTTGATTTGGGCTTGAAGCCTTCCCTAATCCTGGCCTCCGCTGGTTTCTCCAGATTGTGATGGCCCTGATAGCAGTGTTAATATTGTGAGCGTAAGGTGGCATCTAAATATCTACTCAAGTCCTGTGGGAACTTCTTGACTTCTGAGCCACTCTGACCCCCAGGTCTTCCTCTGCCTTATATGGGCCCTTCTTTGATGTGTGGTTTCTTAGAGGCAGGGGGTTGGCTCAAGGGATGGGAAAGATGCTAAAGGGAATAGGATTTACCTCCCACCAGGGGTGGTAGACTTTAGAGAATTTACCATCCCCAGAAAATACGACAGCTACAAATGTAGGCAGGCTCAGCAGCCCCCCGCCCCAGAAGGAGGCTGCAGGGGAAGAACATGCCCAGCGGGAGTGCCCGCTACTCTGCTGAAGGAGGCTGAGCTCATACAACTTGCCCCCTCCCCACTCTCCTCTCCTTGTCTCCCTCCGCCTCCCTGGGCTCAGGACCTGCGGGAGGAGTGCATCAAGCTGAAGAAGAGGGTGTTTGACCTGGAACGGCAGAACCAGATGCTGAGCGCCCTGTTTCAGCAGAAACTCCAGCTGACGAAAGGCTCCCTCCCTCAGGTGGGCACAAGCGATTCGCCTTCCCTCCTCCTGCCTCAGCTTCCTGCCGCTCCCAGCCCCGTCAGCATCATCACCTTCTTTTCTCCTGACACCTGAAGAAGTGGGCCACCAGCTATTCCCTCCATTCCGGAGGCTGTGGCCATCTGGGAAAGGCCCATCTAGCCTGATAGGTCTGAGCCTTAGTTGGGGAGGGGACAACTCCCTGAGTCCCCTCAAGCTTGGCTCTCTCCCACCTCCCAGGTGCTCCTTGCCCCACTGGATGGCATCCCTTGTTGTTGACAGAGAAGGTTCTTGCTTGGCCCCTGCCTTGTGTGGGGTGATGGGTGGAGGCTGAAAATGCAATGATTTCAAGCTCCCAAGGGGCCCCTTTGGCCACCATGTTGCTTTTTCTTGGCCAGGGGCAGGGGCGGGGCTGGGCGTAAGGCGCCCAGTGCTGGGTGTCACAGAGAGGTCAGGAAAGGCACGTGTGTGTGCCCCCCCCCCCGGCCCGGGTCATTCTGTGTGGGTGTGTAGTTGCATATGCTCGCACAGTGACACACAGGCTTGTCCTCAAACGCTAGTCCCTGATCGTAGACCTGACACCTGCCTTACCCAGGAAAAGCAGAAGGCTACTAGGTGTGAATCCTGAACTCTGTTAAGATGTCCTTTGGGGGGGGCGCCTGGGTGGCTCAGTTGGTTAAGCCGCTGACTCTTGATTTCAGCTCAGGTCTTGATCTCAGGGTTGTGAGTTCACGCTCTGTATTGGGCTCCATGCTGGCCACGGAGCCTACTTAAAACAACAACAAAAAAGATGTCACTTGCGGTCGCTGTATCAGGAGCCCCAAGGCTGGGGTGAGATATGGGGGTGGGAGGATCAGGACCAGCTCCAGGGACCTGAAGTGAACCTTGGGTTCTCAGGTTCAGCCAGCACATCCCTACCCCACCCCCAACCTTGACAAGAGAAGCACCTTCTGGGTGTATCTGTCTGAATGTGTGTGCCTGTCTGATGCAGCTCTTGGCCCCCAGACCTTAAGCAGGATGCCCCACGGCTCACTGGCTGAGGCTTCTCATCGCCATGGCCTTTTTGGAGGCTCTGTCCCCAAGGCCTGTGCAGAGCTGGGTCTGAGTCGGTGGCAGTAACTATGTAGCTCTTCCTGCCCTGGACAGGTCCCCCTGGGATCCCCAGAGGCCTAACCCCGCTAGCCAAGCTCACCCTGTGCATACCTTTCTTGGCAACCAGTGATAACAGAGGTGTAGATCATCCTTAAATCACTGAAATGAAATCTGGGACCTTTAGGGGTTTGGGGCAATAGATCTATCTTCCCCAGCGGTAACATGACATAATAGAAAGAGCATAAATCTTGGCCTCAGGTACGCTTGGACTGGGTACCCAACTTAGCTAATTCTTAGCTATGTGACCCTGGGCAAATTATTTAACCTTACGAACCCCAGTTTTTTTCTTAAAAGTGAGGATTAAGACACCCATATTGCAGGTTGTCATGAGGATGAAATGAAATATAGTGTTTGGCCCATGGTCGTAGTCAGTGATTAGCAACTATTTATATTGTTAATGTTACTCTCAAGTTGTGCTTTGCTAGGATGAAAGCTCCATTGAGCAAATGCTAATTAAGCTCTTACTGTGGGCAGCGCCTTTGCCAACGCGTGTGTGGAATTGGACAGGGCTGTGGTGTGTGCAGAGCACATAAACCCTGAGGGTTGGACTGCTGCGAGCTAAGACAGGGCTGCAGACAGCCATAGTACGGAGCAGGGTGACAGTGCTGTCCGTGAGCCCGGAGGGGAGAGAGGCCAGCAGAGTGGCCTTAGGGAGGTGACATTGGACCTGGGCCTTGCTGCACGGGCGATTTAAAAAGTAGAGTTGCGGGTGGGGAGAAGGGCTGCTCTGTGGGAGGAACCGCAGGGAAACCCCGGGCAGAAGCAAGCTTCGGCTGGGCTGGAATGGAGGCTGTGCCAAGGAACAGCAGTGAGGACCAGAGGTGGCGTCAGGGAAGGACCGGCAGGCCGGGCCCAGAATGCCGGCAGAGGGGTCCAGACCTGTCTCCTTCGGCAAGTGGGCAGGAATAGGAGGCTTTAGAGGAAAAGGAAAAAAAAAATACTTCTGCTTTGTGGATAAGGGATTTGTAAAGCCACTGAACCAGGTCGGGGAGACAAACGCTGAGCAGCACCCAGGCCAGAGGAGTGAGGATCTGGGCTGTAGCCGGCTGGCCAGAAGAGGGAGAAACACCACAGAGGCAGGAATTTAAAGCTGACTCCTGTCTAGTCGAGTCGCCTCGGCGATGGAAATGACATTCACAGGGACTGAGAGAGAGGTGACCCGTGATTCCGTAGTGGTACTTTTGTCATCCTCAGAGACCAGTTGGGGGGAGGGGCAGAGATGAGAACCCCTACCACCTCTCTTCTCGGACCCAGTAACAAATGCCTCTGCGTTAGTCTCAGCCGTCCCGGGGAAGCTAGGGTCACAGGCAGTCAGAACAGGAAGGGGCTGTTGGGGGCCGGCCCTCTGTAATCGGGAAGGGGGCCCCGCAGAGAAGCAGAGTGGTCCTGGAGCCGCAAATTAGGCTTGTCACTGCCCTCTGCCCCGGGACCTTCTGCTTTCTCCAGAGCCCCAGGCCAGTCCCATCTCCCTGCCACCTGGGCTCACGCGTCTTCATTCTACCTGTGCACAGTCTCCCGAGGCTCCTCTGACCGAGTGGCAGGGATGGTGGCGGAAGCCACACTGGAGGCCAAGAGATGACCCGAAGGAGCAGACTTGGAAGAACGTTTTCCTGCCCTGGAGGGGAAGGCCGAACTTCGTGAGGGGGTAGGGACCCGGGACAGACAGCCCCATTGCTAACTCTGCCTCTCCCCTGCAGATCCCACTTGCGCCGCTCCAGCCGCCTTCAGAGCCACCGGCTTCTCCCTCCCTGAGCTCTGCCGAGGGACCGACCACCCCGCTGCCACTGGGGCACTGTGCTGGGCAGAGAGAGGTAGGAGGGCTGGCCACAGTGGTCTGTGGCTTCGCTGGCGACGGACTCCTCAGTCGGTTCTCTGTTGCTGCTTCCTAAGGAGTGCCAGGGGGAGGGCTGCTCCCCGGTGCCCAGATCCTCGTCCGGGTGTGGGCCTCAGACCAAGAGAAACAGGACCCCACTGCCAGTCATGAGCCTTGCGAGCAAAGTTAGTTAGTGGTAGACTCGTGGTTACCATTTTCTGAGCTCGCACTCTGTGCTGCACACCTGGATCTCATTTATATATTTTTTAATAATTTTTGGCCTATATTCACAGTTGTCTCTATTGAAGTCTAGAACTATTATTCATTTATTCTTTTGCTTCCCTGGCTTCCTTTATTTTAGGAGGTTAAGCATAATTACCACCCCATTTTATAGACGATGGCGTGAAGCTTAGGTTAAAAAACTAGCTGACATCCATGTAACTAGTTGAGCGGTAGACCTGGGACTTGAACCTCCATAGTCTGGCTCCGGGGCCCGTGTAGTTAACCGCTATGCCAGATGAGGTGGGCCCAAGAAGGAGCTGGGCAGAAACAGGGAGAGGCTTGCCATGGAGCTGTCCCAGTTCCCTCCTCCCGGGGGTGCGGGTCCGCAGGACAGCTGTCTGACCTGAGAAGGCCTGGGCTTACTGGCAGGGACTGACTGAGCACTTGGCCACACAGCATCCCCTTCTTGAGTGTCTGTGTTCTTTCTGGAGCCTGGAAAATGGACAGGCCTCCCTCCCCTGGGGCAAACATAGATATCAGGGTTGTAGGTGGTATCAGCCCTGCTGAACCAAACAGTAGTGGGGGGGTGGAAGCAGGGGGTGTTGGGATAACCAGGAAGGGAGATGAGGGCCCCACCCCACCCCAGGTACACCAGGAGGAAGAGTTGGTTGGGGTCACCAGGGCTCAGTGACTTAAGGAAGCTGAGCTGTCCTCTCCGAGAAGCTGTGAATTCCTTCTGGGGCCTCGGACAAAACCAGGCCAGCTCTGTTCCTGACATACTCAGTTTGGCCCAGCTCAGGTCCTAGGCCTGCACGCGGGCCCCTCCTCATGTTGTTTCTCCCCGAAGGTGTGTTGGGAGCAGCAGCTGCGGCCAGGAGGCCCAGGACCCCCGGGACCCCCGGCTGCCCCACCCCCGGCACTGGATGCCCTGTCCCCATTCCTTCGAAAGAAAGCGCAGATCCTGGAGGTGCTGAGGGCCCTGGAAGAGACCGACCCGTTGCTTCTTTGCTCGCCTGCCACCCCGTGGCGGCCCCCAGGCGAGGGTCCCGGCTCCCCAGAGCCCATCAACGGCGAGCTGTGTGGCCCACCCCAGCCTGAACCCTCCTCCTGGGCCCCCTACCTGCTCCTAGGCCCTGGTAGCCTGGGAGGCCTGCTACACTGGGAGCGCCTCTTGGGGGGCCCAGGGGAGGAAGAGGGTGCTGGGCGGCCCTGGGGCCCTGGTAGGGGCTCCTCCCAGGCCCAAGGCACTGGCTCTGGGCCACCCTGTGCCCCAGGCAGCAGCAGCTCCTCCTCCTCGGATGAGGCAGGTGACCCCAACGAGGCGCCCAGCCCTGACACCCTGCTTGGGGCCCTGGCCCGCAAACAGTTGAACCTGGGCCAGCTCCTTGAGGACACAGAGTCTTACCTACAGGCCTTCTTGGCCGGGGCTGCAGGCCCACTCAACGGGGACCAGCCAGGTCCCGGGCAGCCATCTTCCCCAGACCAGGGCCCCCCACAGCTGTCCAAGTCCAGAGGCCTCCCCAAGTCAGCTTGGGGTGGGGGTACCCCAGAGGCCCACAGGCCGGGCTTTGGTGCTACCTCAGAGGGCCAGGGGCCCCTCCCCTTCCTCAGCATGTTCATGGGTGCGGGTGATGCCCCCCTGGGCTCGCGGCCTGGCCACCCCTACTCCTCATCTCAGGTGAAAAGCAAGCTCCAAATTGGCCCCCCTTCTCCCGGGGAAGCCCAGGGACCCCTTCTGCCCTCTCCAGCCAGAGGTCTCAAGTTTCTAAAGCTGCCTCCAGCTTCGGAGAAGGTCCCCAGCCCAGGAGGCCCCCAGCTGAGCCCCCAGCTTCCCCGGAACTCCCGAATTCCCTGTCGCAACAGTGGCTCTGATGGTAGCCCCTCCCCGCTGCTGGCCCGCAGGGGTCTGAGTGGAGGAGAGCTGTCCCCGGAGGGAGCACAGGGCCTGCCCACCAGCCCTTCCCCCTGCTCTGCAGCTCTGGACTCTGCACAGCTCAGACCTCCCCAGCCAACATTGTCCACCACGCTGTCCCCAGGACCCGTGGTCTCTCCCTGCTATGAGAACATCCTGGACCTTTCCCGGAGCACCTTTAGGGGGCCTTCCCCAGAGCCACCTCCATCCCCACTGCAGGTACCCACCTACCCACAATTAACTCTGGAGGTGCCACGGGCCCCTGAGGTCCTCCGAAGTCCTGGAGCTCCCCCCAGCCCTTGCCTCCCAGAATCCTCCTATGGGAGTGCCCAGGAGAAGAGTTTGGACAAAGCCGGCTCGGAGTCTCCCCATCCTGGCCGCCGGACCCCCAGCAGCTCGTCCAAGAAGCCCAGCCAGGGGGCAGGGCGGCGACCTGGGGATCCTGGCTACACCCCTCTGCGGGACAGACTGGCAGCCCTGGGGAAACTGAAGACTGGCCCTGAGGGGCCAGAGAAAAACGGGGTGCCAGCCAGGCCTGGCACTGAGAAGGTGCGGGGAGCAGGGAGGTCAGCAGAGAGCCCTGGAGATGTGGCGCCTCCCACCCCCCGGCCTCCTGAGGGGCCAGAAGCCAAGGGGGCCCTGCGGGGGGCAGTGGCCTTGGGCACGAGCAGCCTGAAGCAGCAAGACCCTGGGCTCCTGGGGGACCCCGGGGCCCGAGTCTACTCCTCCCACTCCATGGGGGCCCGGGTGGACCTGGAGCCCGTCTCACCAAGGAGCTGCCTCACCAAAGTGGAGCTGGCCAAGAGCCGGCTGGCAGGGGCCCTGTGCCCCCAGGTACCCCGCACACCTGCCAAAGTGCCCACCTCAGCCCCCAGCCTTGGCAAGCCCAATAAGAGCCCCCATGGCAGCCCGACGAAACTACCTTCCAAGTCTCCCACCAAGGTGGTACCCCGCCCGGTGGCCCCACCGACCACCAAGGAGCCCCCTAAGCCTGACAAGGGGAAGGGCCCACCATGGGCAGACTGTGGCGGCGCTCCGGCCCAGCCTCCGTCCCCTGCCCCTGGTCCTGCAGACGCAAGCCAAGGCCCTGAGGGCCGGGCCCCGCACTCGGCCATCGAGGAGAAGGTGATGAAGGGCATCGAGGAGAACGTGCTGCGGCTCCAGGGCCAGGAGCGGGGACCAGGCGCCGAGGCCAAGCACCGCAACGCCAGCAGCATCGCCAGCTGGTTCGGCCTGAAGAAGAGCAAGCTGCCGGCGCTGAACCGCCGCGCAGAGGCCGCCAAGAGCAAGGAAACGGCCAGCGGGGGCTCACCGCTCCGGAAGGAGGTCAAGGTGGAATCCCGGAAGCTGGAGGCCGAGAGCCTCAACATCTCCAAGCTGATGGCTAAGGCGGAAGACCTCCGCCGGGCACTGGAGGAGGAGAAGGCCTACCTGAGCAGCCGGGCCCGGCCGCGGCCCGGAGGACCGGCTCCAGGACCAAGTACGGGGCTGGGGCAGGTGCAGGGCCAGCTGGCTGGCATGTACCAGGGCGCAGACACCTTCATGCAGCAGCTGCTCAACAGGTGAGGAGGGCCTGGGCCCGGCCAGCAGGCGCTGAGTAGCTGGGGGGCACTCCCCCCCCCACCCCCCATGGGCCCTCCTGGGTCTGGGACTGCTTTCCCTGAGAGCAGAAAGGGCAGGAGGTCAAGTAAAATGCCACCAAAGCATCTAGGGGCTAATGGCCTGGCCCAGAAGAAAGATTGGGGCTTAGATCAGAAGCCTGGGCTTTGTGCCCCAGCCCCCCTCCTCTCTGGCCGCCTGATGTTGCACATGCTGAGACCCAGCTTCTCATTGAAGAAGAGTTAACAGTCCGCATTTCCCTGAATCGCTTCCAGCATCAGCCGGGGCACCAGAAGTGCTGCCTATGCGCTGATGTTACCGTGGGCTGAAAGGGGTCTTACTCTGGGATTTTCTGTCCCGGAGCACACCGGGGCTCCCCTCCCAATCTTGCCCATTGCCACCTGCCACAGACTCAGCAGCGGGAGCGGTAGCTCAGAGAAGGGGCCATCCCGTCTTGGGGTTGCTCTGTCCGGGCCAGATGAGGCGGAGTGTCCATAGGGGTTGGGCACCGGGTGGGGGTGTGGCCTGTGTGGACCAGGAGGTGACCAGGCTGCCATCTACTAGCAGATGGCGTCGAGAGGTCTCTAGGCTTGACCCTGTGTGGCTTTTGGAGAACTTGTCCCATCTCCCCTGCCGTTATCTCTGAGGTTTTTCCTAGAGCCTCTGCCTGTTCCCAGCATCAGGAGGAGTTGATGGCGGCAGCCACCGGGGCTGTGTCCCTTCTCCCAGGGGCCGGGGGCAGTGGGGATTTCACTAGACCCAGCCCCACCGGAGGGAGTGAGGTCTGAGTGTCTGGGTGCACCCAGGCCTCCCTTCACCTTTGTCTGCACTGCTGCCTGTAGGGTGGATGGCAAGGAGCTGCCGCCCAAGAACTGGCGGGAGCCCAAACCCGAGTATGGCGATTTCCAGCCAGTGTCCTCTGACTCCAAGAACCCCTGGCCAGCCTGTGGGCCTCGAAATGGCCTGGTGGGGCCTCTTCAGAGCTGTGGAAAACCTCCTGGAAAGGTAGGTTCTTGGCGGCTCGGTATTGGGCCTGGCTCTGTGGCCCGGCCAGATCTCCCACCCCCTGGAGGGTCCCCCTTCCCTGGGTCGTGGAAGCTGCTGGGTGTACTCGTGGTCTCTGGGCGCTGGTGGGCTCCAGGGGTCCTAATGACAGAGCTTGGGGAGGGGCCTGGGCAGGGGTGGAAGGAAGGGGTTCTGAGGTCTCCTGTACCCCCATGCAGCCAAACAGCGAGCCGGGAAGGCGGGAAGAGATGCCCTCAGAGGACAGCCTGGCTGAGCCAGTGCCCACCTCACACTTCACAGGTCAGCAGGGTCAGGGGCCAAGGATGGGACCTGCCCCTCAGCCCCTGCCCCCTTTACTCCTTTCCTGTCACTGCAGCAGGTGCCAGGCCCTGAGTGCCATCTTGGGGCCAAGCACCAGGTAGGCACTGGAGCTCTGCACAGAACTAAATCCCTCCCTGCCCTTGGGTACCCGGCCTGCTTCCCTCCCCCCCCGCCCACATCCCTCCACGTCTAGGGGAGTTGAGGGGGAGGACTGGCAGGGATGACAGCCTGTTGGGCCAGGAGGGGCCCTGCCCAGGTGGGGAGCCCCGGCTGGGGCAGGAAGCCGGAAGAAGAAGGCAGAGGGGCGGAGCCTACAGCCTCCCGTCCCTGACTTACCCTCCCCTCCCCAGCCTGTGGCTCCTTGACTCGAACCCTGGACAGTGGCATTGGGACCTTTCCACCCCCAGACCATGGCAGCAGTGGGACCCCCAGCAAGAATCTTCCCAAGACAAAGCCACCACGGCTGGACCCCCCACCCGGAGTGCCCCCGGCTCGGCCCCCACCCCTTACCAAAGTCCCCCGCCGTGCCCACACGCTGGAGCGTGAGGTGCCAGGCATAGAGGAGCTTCTGGTGAGCGGGCGGCACCCTAGCATGTCAGCCTTCCCCGCACTGCTCACCGCCGCTCCGGGCCACCGGGGCCATCAGACCTGTCCTGACGGTGAGTAGACGGGCAGAAGGGCGGGTCATCCCTGGAGCTCTACCCGCCACCACCCACCTTCCCCTTGTCCCCATGCAGATCCCTGTGAAGACCCAGGCCCTCCCCCTCCTGTCCAGCTGGCTAAGAACTGGACCTTCCCCAACGCGAGGGCAGCCAACAGCTCCACTGACCCTTTTCTATGCCCATCCCGACAATTGGAGGGGCTGCCCAGGACCCCCATGGTGAGCATGGCCAGAAAGGGGACAGGCCTGGAGGGCAGGAGGGATGACATGGGGAGAGCAGTTCCTGCAACGAGGTACAGCCCTGTCTTAGAAGAGGCTGAAGGGTCAGCCCCCTTGGATGCCCTTCTGGGCAGCCCACCCACCTGCCCCTTCTCACACCCCTCTTGGAGAAAGGGTTTCTCTCCCTCCCCAGAACCTCGGTAGGACCATGCTCAGTTGTGCCTCGGGCCACCTTGGTGGGCCCCCTCTGCAGCACCCCGTCAGGTGGGCAGAGCCCAGCACCTCTCTGGTCCAGCTGGGGGCAGGGGGGCGTGAAAGGAGCTACCTCCTGAGCTTCCCTTCCTTTCCCAGGCCCTGCCCGTGGACCGGAAGCGGAGCCTGGAGCCCAGCCGCCCAGCCCCTACACCCCAGGGCCCAGCGTTTGGAGGTAGCCGCACGCCCAGCACATCGGACGTGGGCGAGGAAGGGAGAGTGGCCAGTGGCGGCCCACCAGGTCTGGAGACCTCCGAGTCTCTCAGTGACTCCCTCTACGATTCGCTCTCCTCCTGTGGGAGTCAGGGCTGAGGAGCAGTGCTGCATTAGGGCCCCTCTCTGGCGTTGGAGACCACTGACTGGACCAGCTCTCCTCGTGCCCCATCCCTTGGGGCCCGTGGGGCCCCTCCCTGCAGGGACCAAGGAGGCAGATGGATCAGAAGGTGAAGGGGGTCCCTGACACACCCCATTGCCCACCGCTGCTGTGGAGGGGATGCCCACTCTCAGCTCAGGGAGAGACCCCACCCTTGGTCCCTTCTCTCGCCTGGAGTAAGGCTCGTCCTCTGAGGGACTGGGGGTTCAAGGTCGCAGTGTCCCGACCCCCAGCGCCCCCTTCAGGCTGAGCCATCTTGTGGTGCTGGGCTTCCCGCCCACCAGCTGTGCCATCTCTGCCCAACCTGGCTGCTCCCTGCCCTGGAGCCCCGTGGGGCCAGCCCCGAGTCCCCGTGCCGGTGGAGTTTGGGGGGCGAAGGGTCAAGTTGCCTTCTCTCTCTGTCTGCCCTGGTCCTCCCTGCTGTCTGGATGGTGCTGCCCTCCCCTGCCCCATGTCTTTGGGGTCCGTTTGTCTGTCTTTTTGTGGTTTTTTTATATTGAAGCGCCTGGCCCAGCCCCCACCCCCATCCCCGCACTGCGGTTAATTTATCTGTCGTTAAGAACTCGGCTGCTCTGCTTCCAGCCTCTGCTTCTGCCCTATTCCTAATAAAACGTGGAGGCCCCTCCCTGCCCTGGACTCCGCTTTTTCTGTGGGAGGTCTCCGGAGTGGACAGATGGGTGGAGGCTGCATGGGTGCCAGGGTGGGGGACCCCAGGGACCTAGACTTGGCCTCAGGTGCCCTTGTGAGGCAGCCCCCTGCCACCGGCACAGCTGCTGGTGGGGTCACCTTAGAAGGTCACTAAGGGTTGGGGAGTGGGGTCTGCTTAGGCCTGGAATGGTGCCCGGGGTTAGGGGATTCATTCCCCTGCGGTAGGGCAGAAGGCTGGGCTGCCTCTGGGGAGGGTGGCTGTGGGCATGCGCTCAAACTCCGGTACATACTGGGTGGGATGCGGTGTGCAGAGTGAGCTTCGGGGGCTGCTGTGTAGACAGTTAAGTGTCTGTAGCCTCCTGTTGCCAGAAAGCAAAGCACAGCTGGGTCTCAAACTGTTGCCACCTTCTTTTTTTTTTTTAATATTTTATTTATTTGAGAGAGAGGGAGAGCATGAGTGGGGGAGAGACAGAGTCAGAGGGAGAAGCAGACTCCCTGCTGAGCAGGGAGCCCGAAGTGAAGTGGGGCTCCTTGCCAGGACCCCGGGATCATGACCTGAGCCGAAGGCAGACACTTAACTGACTGAGCCACCCAGGCGCCCCCTGTTGCCACCTTCTTATCTCTTCCCAGACATTGGGCTTTCCCCCCCAGATCTTCTTGCCCCTATTTCTACCTCAGATTTCTTTTCTTTCTTTCTTTCTCTCTTTCTTTCTTTCTTTCTTTCTTTCTTTTTCTTTCTTTCTTTCTTTCTTTTTCTTTCTTTCTTCTTTTTCTTTCTTTCTTTATTTTTAAAGATTTTATGTATTTATTTGACAGGGAGAGAGCAGGAACACAAGCAAGGGGAGCAGCAGAGGGAGAGGGAGAAGCAGGCTCCCCGCGGAGCAAGGAGCCCGACGTGGGGCTTGATCTCAGAACCTGGGATAATGACCTGAGCCGAAGGCAGATGCTTAACCGACTGAGCCACCCAGGTGCCCCTCTACCTCAGATTTCAACCAGAAGTTCCCCTTGCTCTGAAATTCTCGCTTCAGGAAGGGGAGGCCAAGAATGAGGCTGTGTGGAAGGGTCTAGGCTTCTAGGAGTTATTTCGTACTCTCCACATGGCATGAAAAGGCCACGGGGTGGCGGTGGCCCTCTAGCCCTTGGATTTCCCGTTGGGCATGAAGCTGGGCATTACCTGGAGGTAAGCCAGGGGGCACCTAGACCATCACACACTGGCCAGCCAAGTTGGGCCAAGGAGGGCCTCCTTCCTGCCCAGGTTGCCGGGGTGTGGGGTGACTTGTTGAGTGCCCATCAGACCTAGCCGGCACCTAGCCTCTCCCCGTGATGTACAGTCTGAAGGCCACTTGGGCAGCACACACTCGGTACCCCTGGCCTTGTGGCTGGGATTCTGGACCGTTCATCATCATGGGGGTGGGGGCCCTATGGTGAACACCTGGTCTGTGTTGGCACCACAGGCTTGCAGAGCTGAGGTCAGGGGTGCCTGGCAGGGAGTAAGAGCTGGGCCCATTCACACCTCAGTGATATGCTGGCTGTCGCTCTGTGCCCTGGCCAGCCCAAGGAAGGTCAGGGTAGGGAGAGTGTCTGGGCCTCCCTTTATACTAGCTCCTTCCACTGGTGTCTCCAGCCCCAGAATGCTCCAGAGAGCACTAGAAGAACTCCTCCCATTAAAATAAACACCTACCATGCCACCAGCCTGGCTGAGAAGTGATGGAGCCTCAAGAGAGTGGTTTCTTTCTGAGTGTGTAGCTTGCCTTTCTTCTGGCAGGACCTTAATCTCCTCCTCCCTTTTTGGCCTATGGATCACTCCTGATGGGCAGGGCTTGAGAGCACTAGACAGGAAACTCAAGAGTCTTAGCCACTGAGTCTGGTTTTGTGGGAAAGTGGCATCCTTCTCTGGGCCTTGGTTTTCCTTATCTATGGAAGGAAGATCAGGAGATTGGGCCAAAGCACCTTTCTCCTTCGCTCTCTAGTTCTTCCTATGTCTCCTTTAATCTGGCCTCTCTCCCTCCCGTTTCCCTTGGTTGATGTCTTGGAAGAAATTAACAAGACTTAGAGAAGGGTCAAGTCAGATATCTTGGTTTTCCCTAAACGTCCGAATCCCATTTTCCCACCTCCATCTTCTACCTGCAGCTCCGTTCCCATTGTCCCTTCCACTTTTATGGGCTAGCGAATGATATTGCCAAGCTGCTAATCTGCCTCTTGCCATGGGGGCTTATACAAAGGCTACATCCTTCTAATTTTTTTTATTTCTGGGTTCTTCAGGCGCCTTTCTCTGTTTGAACCTGATGTATTACCTCATTTCCTTGTTAGTCCAGAATTGTTTGCCTGCCGGATATTTACCCTCTGTCCTTTCCGGGAAAGAGTTTGGGATGGTGGGTTTGACTCTGGACTCCATTTCTGGCAAGCTGAGACCAAGTGGCACATCCATGTTTGTGTCACCAGGGTCTGGCCCGTGCGCTGTCAGGCTCTGTTCTGCAGTGTTGCAAATGCAAGGTGTCCCCTTGGCCCCTGGGGCAGTGTAAGCCACGCAACATCAGCCACACCTGGTACCTTGGAGCCAGCCCTGCCCTACTGACAGTTCCAAGGGGGGGCAGCTCTCATTCCTAAATCTCCCCATGTCCAGCCCCCAGAACTGTGTGCACCCTCCATCTGAAGTAATCCTGTGGAGGGGGGACACACAAGTGAGTCAAAGACACTCCTGAGGAACCAGTTTTTCCTTGTACTTTAAGGAAGGGTTTGGCTAAAAGACTACTTGATCTTCACTATGGCAGAACACTGCATATCTCGGTTGGCAACATCTGCTTGCAGGATTAAGGTGACCTCACTATTTTCTCCGTGAACAGTGGGTGATGTTTGCCTTACCATTGTGTGTGACCCCTTCTGCTGAATTCTCCAAACAGATGAAGCCAAAACCGCCAGGCTCCCCTTATCCCCCTTCAAATGGCATTAAGGCGTCAGCAAAAGACTGAGAAGGTTTCAGGTTTCACACCACTGGACACCCTGCCTTTTACAGGAAATGTCCTAAAATGTTAACAGGTTTTCTCTGGCTTGCCAAGAGTTTTTATTGCTAGATTTTCTACAAATAGTATGTTTTGTTTTCTTTATCAAAAAAGTTTTAAAAAAGAAACAGTCATGCTCTGCAGCAAACTCTAGATATACACACCCATCCTTTAATTCAAACATGTACTTTTTTTTAAAGACACATGAATGTGAAGTAAATACAGGTGAGCATTTCTATGATCTTGGGATGGGGATAAACTTTTAAAAATCTTTTTTATAATAAAGACATACAAATTATAAAAATGCATGTTTTTTTAAAAAAACTTTTTTAAAAGGTGCATTTTTTCTTTTAAAAAAAAGGTGACTGAAATTGAATAGAACATTATAGAAGGAAGAAGCATCTCTTTCATACTCCAACTCCCAGCCTCACTCCCCAGATATAACCCATGTTGATCAGTAACCTTTTCAAATCATGTTTTAAATGCACGCGCGCACACACACACACACACACACAGCATGTTTACGTTGACCTTTTATTAAACGATGAGATTATTCTATAGTTACTGATCTGCTTCTTTTAGCATTTAATAATATATCTTGGAGATTTTTCCAAAGTCCGTGAATCTCCATTATCATACACGGTCTTCCGTTGTATGGATGGGCCATGCTAATTTGTGTTGCCATGACAAATAGTGCTGCAGTGAACATTGCATATGTGTCTTTGGCCACTTGTGTGTTTTCACAAGGTAAATTTTTACCAATGGAATTGCTAGGTCAGGGCCGCCTGGGTGGCTGAGTCGGTTTAGCGTCCGCTTTCAGCTCAGGTCTTGATCCTGGAGTCCCAGGATCGGGCCCCACATGGGGCTCCCTGCTCAGAGGGGAGTCTGCTTCTCCCTCTGCCCCTCACCCTGCTCGTGCTCACTCTCTCTCAAATAAATAAAATACTTTTTTTTAAAAAAGGGAATTGCTAGGTCATAGTATATGCTTAATTTAAATTTTTTACAGATACTAACAAATTGCATTTCACTAACAAAGATCTTCTACATCATTCAGTATTATTAAATTATTTATTCTCAGCCAGTGTGGTCAGAGTAAGTGACCATGTAGAGTCTTGTGGCCCAAAGTTAAGGACTTTGACTTTTTACTCAGAGAGAAATGGGGAGCTGTTAGAAACTGATAAAGAATAAACTAGAGAGGGCACCTGGGTGGCTCAGTCGGTTAAGCGACTGCCTTCGGCTCAGGTCATGATCCTGGAGTCCCAGGATCGAGTCCCACATCGGGCTCCCTGCTCAGCAGGAAGTCTGCTTCTCCCTCTGACCCTCTTCCCTCTCGTGCTCTCTATCTCTCATTCTCTCTCTCAAATAAATAAATAAAATCTTTAAAAAAAAAAAAAGAATAAACTAGAGAGGGCAAGTATGGCCGCAGACCAGTAAGGGGACCTCTTGGGTAACTCCAATGACAGATGGTGGCGACCTGTTCCAGGGTGGAGGCACCGTAGACAATAAAATTTGCTAATGTAATTGATGTGAAGAAAGGAGAAGAGCCAAGGGTAACTCCAAGGGTTTTGGAGCAACTGGTAGGAAGAAGTTGCCATTAACCGATAAGGGGGAGATCTCGTAAATAGAGCAGACTTGGGGGAGGGAAGATCAGGAGTTAAGTGTTGGCCATGTTAAATTTGAGATGTCTGTTGGACACCATCCAATGGAAAATGTGGAGTAAGCAATTGGTTATAGAAGTCCAGAGTTTAGAAAAGAAGCCTGGGCTAGAGATATAAATTAGTAAGTCATCAACATATGGATGTTATTTAAAGCCAGGGGCTGGGTGAGCTCAACAAAGGAGTAAGAAGAGGAAAGGTCTGAGTCCTAAATCCTGGGATCCTTAATTTCTTCAGAGGTCAGAGGAAATGAGGAGAGATCACAGAGGAGACTGAAAAAATAGTACCAAGAGAATGTGGGGTCCTGGAATATAAAAAACGAAAATG